GGATCATGACCTGAGCCGAAGGCAGACACTTCACTGACTGAGCCACCCAGGCGCCCAGAAAGATAGTATTTCTTTTTAAGCAAGGGGTCCTTGAATTACTCTTGAATTACAGATGTAATTATAATTGGAATTAATTGATTTTGCATTTGCAAGTAGTTTTTTTTTTAGAAATACAGTTTTCTTTTTTTTTTTAAAGATTTTTTAAATAACTACATTCCTATGTGATAGATGCTGTGGTAGGGTAGGTAGGTATGTTGGGGAAGCACAAGAGTCGGGTTTATGGAAAGACTCTTGGAAGATAAGCAGTTATTTGCTTCTCATGGTGGAATGAGGGAAATAGCATCCCAGGTCGCAGGAACCACTCATGCAGAAGCTTGTAGTCTTAGGAACAGACAGAGGGGCAAGGGTCCTCAGAAGCCACTACATTGACCTCTTCATTCTTGACCTTGTTCTCCTCACCAGTTTTTCAGAAAGCAGTTAGGTTTCCAGTATGAGGTGGAATATTCTAGAGCCCTTGCACTTGCTGCCTCCTGGGATGGTCCACTTCCTGTTTGTACAGCTGTAACTGCTACAAATCATTTCCTTAACTCTCTATCAATTAATCTGCTTTTCCTGGTTCGAGTTCAACACTCCAAAGCTGCAGAGAGAAGTGACTGCTTGAGGCAGGCTCTCTACCAGACATCAGAAACACAGTTACTCACATTCCTTTTTTAAGGCCCTAAAAGACTAGTCCACACTTTCATATCTGAACACCTTCGACTTAGTTTCTGAGTTTTCTCTTTTCCAGATTAAATAGTCTTGCTTTTCAGAAATACTCTTTAAGCATTTTAATGAGATTTTCAAACCATCTTTTTTATTTTGAAAAAAAAATAGAAGAGTACACAAAAAATAAACAATGTATGTACAATTTAGGTGTTAATATTTTGCCACATTTCCTTCATTTCTTTCTTGCTCTTTCCTTCTTTTTCCTTGCTCTGTCCTCTTCTTTCTTTCTTCCTTTCTTCCTGTGTTTCTTTCCTTCCTTCCTTCCTTCCTTCCTCCCTCTCTCCATCCCTCTCATCCTCCCTTCCTTCTTTCTTTTTGAAAAAGAAAAGTTTACAGATACAGGGTGTCTCTTTTGCACGCTATGCTTTCAAGAAGCATACCCTAGGGGTGCCTGGGTGGCTCAGTCAGTTAAGCATCTGCCTTTGGTTCAGGTCGAGATCCCAGGGTGCTGGGATTGAGCCCCGAATTGGGCTCCCTGCTTAGGCCGGAATCTGCTTCTTTCTCCCCCCTACTTGTGCTCTCACTCTTTTTCTCTCAAATAAATAAATAAAATCTAAAAAAAAAAAAAAAAAAAGCATACCCTATCCTACATAGAAATTGGTGTGACCCTTCCCTGCCACCCCATTCTTTCTGACACATTCATACAATGTTGTGTTGATTTTTGTTTTTATGAGTTGCAGAAATGATTTCATACTGTACATATCTTCCTGCAACTTGCTCTTTGCATTCATCTTGATTTTTAAAGTTCATTTGTGTCCATATATGTAAGTCCAGCTCCTTCCTTGTAACATAGCCCCATCAGATGGCTATGCCATCCTCCACCTGTGGACTCCCCACCGAGGGACATTTGAGTTGTCTCCCATTTCCCGCTGTCACCAACACTGTGATAGCAAGCATTCTTGTGCAGGTCTCTGTGTGCCTGGGCCAGAGAGTCTAGGGCATTCGCCCAGTGGGGTCATAGGGCATGCGAAATGCACCTTGACCCCTCAGGAGGTATTGCTGGTTTTTACTCTCTGGATTGTACCTCTTTGCCCTCCTGACAGAAGTCCTGAGAATTCCAGCTTTTCCACATTATCAGCCATGCTTGACATGGTCAGGGGCTTACTTCCTAATTCCTCATGGGGTTGATAGCATCTCATATGCTTATTTGGTCACAGTCTTATGTGATTTACCTATTCCTGTTTCTTTGCTTATTTTTCTGTTGGGTCTTACGCTTTTTTAAATTTTTATTTTATTTTTTGAAAGATTTTATTTGTCACAGAGAGAAAGAGAGAGAGAGAGTGAGTGCAAGCAGGGGGAGCGGCAGGCAGAGGGAGCGCTATGCGGAACTAGAGCCCAGGACCCCGGGATCATGACCTGAGCTGAAGGCAGACGCTTAACCGACTGAGTCACCCAGGCATTCCGTTACACTTTTTTTTTTTTTTAAAGATTTTATTTATTTGAGAGAGAAAGAGCATGAGTGGTGGAGAGGAGCAGAGGGAGAGGGAGAAACAGATTCCCCACTGAGCAGGGAGCCTGAATTGGGGACTTGGGGCTTGATTCCAGGATCCCAAGATCATGACCTGAGCTGAAGGCAGATGCTTAACCGACTGAGCCACCCAGGCACCCCTGAGTTTTACATTTTTTCTTACTGATCCATAAGCTTTATTCTTTAAATCTTCTGGATAATTATCATGGTTACTTACATGCACTGTAAACATCATAGGCCAGGGTCTGCAACTTACTCTTTTACTTTATTTGTGCTGTCTCGTTTTGCATACCTGTTATGTAACTATTCCTTTCTAGTTTGTATTTTTGGTAATGTTTAAGAAATCCTCCTCATCCGGACATCAGTAGAGTCTCCTATATATTCTTCTAATTATTTTGAAGTTTTTTGTTTTGCACCATTAGTCTGCCTTTCATTTTGCATATGGCACGAGGTGCCCAATAATTTCATTTGCCTCCAAATGGATAGTCAGTCTAATTAATTGACTAGTCCATCCTTTCCCACTGATCTGAAATGCCACCTCTGATATCTGTTAAGTCCCCTTATACATGCAGTGTATTTCTGGGCTTTCTATAGTCTGTTCCATTGGTCTTTGTATCACAGAACAAATAGCTCATGGCTTCCATTACGTTAGATATGTATGTCTCCTCTTTTCTCCCCTGGATCTGAGCTTAGCACAGAGCTGAATATTTCATGTACCTTTGCTCATTTACTCTTCTCAACACCCTACAAGGCAGGTGCTATTGCCCCCCATTCTACAGATGAAGTGATTGAGGCTTAGGATGGTTAGGGAGGGGGGAGACCTGGTTCTGGAACCTTGGTGGTTCAACTCCACAGCCCAAACCTCAGCCCTACACTGTAGTTAAGAGCTGACTTGGGGGAGAAGTTTGGTATGTGGCGGTGCTGATCATCATCCAACCTCAGCCCCCTCTGCCCGTGTTCTTGGGTTGGACCAGGTGGGAGATCAGGATCTTCCTGCATGTAACTGACAATCGGTCTGCTATCTACACATAGACACATTTTCTGGTTGCTGGGGAAGGGCAGCAGCACAAAAGACAACCTCTGCCTTCAAGGATCTTCCAGAACCTTGTAGGTATGCATGTATGCTTTCACATATGGTAGCTTGGATATGAGCTCCTTTGAATGCTTACGTCTTTCCTTTGATTTCACAGTTAAACAGAAAGACTCAGAGGGGAGAAAGAAGAGCCAGAAGAAAAGGAAGAAGTCTCGAGCAGAAGAAGAAACTGACCTCAAGGTGGAAGGAAACTGGAAGCATGGTACCTTCTCCACTGAGCTGGTGGTGATGCCGCTCCTTGCAGGTGGCTACCCCTGGTCCCAACAGGTTCTGGTTGTCTTGTCCTATGTGGCTAGAATGTCCATAAACAGGATGCTCGCATTGACCAAGCCTCTGTTCTGCCACCTAGCTTCACGCTCATAGTCACTTCAGCAAAAGTGCAGGCAAGCGTCTCTGTTGTACAGAGGAGGAGAAGGAGGCACAGGGAGGTCAGACGTATTGTTCAAGATCACACAGCAAGTAAGGGCGAGGCCAGGGTTTGAACTCAGGCCTGATTCCAAAGAAACCTGTGAGAATAGTTGTGCTGATTTTGTTTGCTAAATAAGATGCTGCTTTTTATAAACACCGTCCTACAGATTTTTACGAAAACATCTAGTAGAGGAAATGAGGGAAGGAGCCGGTATTTCTGTCCCGTCCTGCTCATGGCAAACACTGAGCCTCCCAGTAAGCTTGGAGGGGGGCTCTCGGGGTGCCTGTCCTTTGTCCTGTGAGGCATCAAAACTCGCAGACGGCAAAGCTACTCACTTGAGGTCACATAGCTCAGGGGCAGAACAGGGGTTTCGTTCTTTGCTTTGTAAGATCTATCACAATTTGGAAACTAGGTTTTCTACGGTTTGACAAATAATAAGGTATGCATGTTATATCCCTAGGTTTTGACAATGGAAAGCTCAGAATGTATTTTGGGTAAAATTATATGACTTCATTTTTAAAATAGTAACATGGAGGGGAAACCCTCTTTCTTTTCAGAGAAAATCATTTCAAGCCTATTTCATTGTAGGCATTTTGTTGTTGTTGTTTTTGGCCATCAGGGTGAATGTGCGCCCTCTACTGGCCAATCTGCAGAAATCTAGGCTACTATCTTGAGCAGGAACGAACCCTTGCAGCGGCTTGAGGTTTTACCTCATGAAAGTCAGCATCAAGTTCCACAGGTGCCAGGAAAATCAAATTCTCACAAGCTCTTGTGCTGATGTTGATACATCTTGAGGAAATACGATTAATTTTTTAGTTTTCACTTTCTTTTTTTTCAAGAATTTATTTATTTATTTGAGAGAGAAACACACAGCGAAGAGAGGGAACACAAGCAGGGGGAGTGGGAGAGGGAGAAGCAGGCTTCCCGCCGAGCAGGGAGCCGATGTGGGGCTTGATCCCAGGACCCTAGATCATGACCTGAGCCGAAGGCAGACGCTTAACGACTGAGCCACCCAGGCGCCCCTAGTTTTCACTTTTAAATGGATTTTTGAAAATCCGCTTTCACCTAAAGTTGGACCTTTCAGGCTGTCTTAGCTTTCCCGTGGCATTGGAGTCTTTTCTAGAGAAATGAATTTTCAGAGACGCATACCCACTCTCAGGCTGTGCTCCAGGAGGACCCAGCCTCCGCACAGCGCTTGCACGCTCCTGCCCGGGGCACACATCTCTGGGGAACACCTTGTGGGCTGAATCCCCAAGAGAAACCCGTGCCTATAGATGGGTGAGCTCCGGGTCATCCGCTGACTTTGGGTCGAGGTTGATTTTGCTGCTTAATTTTGCTGTGGGAGGAAGGAGAAGCTCAGATGGTCTCAACCATCCTGGCGTGACTTTTTCCAGCAGGGTGAAGCCCAGAAGTGTCTGGGCTTCCCCTCTCTCTAACCTGCACTGTCACAGCCCTGTAAGGAGACAATGATTCCAAGAGCACCAGTGACAAACGGACTTTGAATCTTGGCTCAGCCACTGCCCAGCAAGTTGCCCACGTTCTCTGAGTTCTTCGACTCCATGTCCTCATCTGTAGAATAGGGGTGAGAATTTCCACCCCGGGAGGCTGCAGGAAGGATCACGTGAGATAATGTGTATAAACTTGCACACAGTAGGACTCAGAGAGGTTACTGGTGTGGAGGTGGCAGCTGCTTGTTCAGAACATTTGGGTGGGCTGGGTGCAGGGTGCTGGGCCTCCAGCAAGGAAGGCAGAAAGGTAAACCTCCTCCCTTGTACCGATAGCATGGTTTATGGTCCTAAGCTAAGAAGGGCCTTGGCTCGGCAGGCCAGCTGGATGTTTGTTTTTGCCGTAGAATAATAGCATAAGATCATTCCAAAACCAGCATGATAATTTTTGGTAATCATCTTCGATTTCAAATTAGGCCCTAGGCTTTGCATCCCCTAGTGGTGAATATTTGTTGGCCAGTGACCCATTAAGAGTTTCGAAAGACTCTGGAATGAGCTCTTATTTTTTGTTGCGTAGTGGAGGGGCCAAGTGTCACCAGGCAGGCCTGGTTTGGACATGGGTCCCACCGCTTATTGGCCAAGAGACCTTGGATGACTTCTGAACATTTCCGGACCTTAGTTTCTCTGTCTACGAAGCAGAGATGGTAGCAGCCACACAGGGCTGTTCTGAGGATCCAGTGACGTTAAGGCACGCTCAAGTCTGGATGTTGTAGATGCATGCACCTTGCGGGGTCCGTTCCTGGGCTCCTTTTCTCTTACTCTGGAGCTGGGCTCCTCAGCCTGGGCACTTGTGCCCCCAGGGGGACATTGGGTTATATGAGGAGGTAGTTTTGGTTGTCACAGATGGGAGCAGAGGGAAGCTGCTGTCCCATAATGCACAGGACAGTCCCCGCAGCCAAGAATCTCTGTCCTCAAGTATCTGTGGTTTTGAGTTTGTGAAACCCTACCCTGGAGTTATGGCTGACGCCTCCCTAAATTTCTGAATGATGATTTGAGTGCACGTTTGCACTGGAGATTTCTTCTAAACGGGGCAGTCTTTTCCATGAAAAGGTTTACAGAGTTCTAGAATACAAATCATGATTAGTTATGGCCTTAATGAGTGAGCTTTGTTGAAGAGAAAGTCGTGGGAGCCCTGGGGGCTGCCCCCAGGAGCTGCACGTGGCCCCATGCTCAGGCCCGTGTGCTCAGCTGCACACCCCGGGCCCGTGACTTGTTTTAGAAGGGAAGCTCTTTCTGAGCATGAGTGACTGGGCCTTCGTGTGCCCTAGAAATACATTTACAAGCCTTGTGAAAGGAGCAGAGCTGATCTTTTTGAGCACCCGCTATATGCTGGGCAGTGTTCCCACCAACTTCTCCTACATAAACCCTCTTAATCCTTCACCCTAAGCATGGTGGGATCTCTGCCCATTTTGCACAGGAGGAAATTAAGCCCCACAGAGCCTCTAACTTGTTGTAGGCCATGCGACTATAAGATAAGAGAGCCAGGATGTGAGCCTAGGCCTCTCTGTACAGCTGGAGGATTTGATCTCCCCCCCAGCCCCCACACCAATATGTCTCCACCTGGTAAAATGTATGGACCCCTTTCATGAGAAAAATAGTCTCCCAGCTATGTGTGTGCCACGTGGTGGCTCCGTTCACCCACCCTTTGCCCTACTTGCGCTCCCGCGAACTGTCCTAGCCGGAGGTGTGCCGTGTTTGATTCGGCTCCGATGTACCCGTTATGTTCTACATCAGGATCTATGCTTTTCTCGCTGGACCACACCTGTTAAAGCAGCACCACTGGCCTCCATGACAGAGACCCTGGCATTATGTGTTCTTGAATGTGTTCTGTTCTAAAGTACTTGCCTGGAGCAGCACTCTCCAAGAGAACTTTCTGCAGTGATGGAAATGTGCCAGATCTGTGTTGTCTGGTCCAGTAGCTCATAGCTACATATGGCTACTGAGCATTTGAAATGTGACTCATGTGATGAAGGAACTGCATTTTAAATTGTATTTAATTTTATTTATTTATTTATTTATTTATTTATTTATTTATTTATAAAGATTTTTTAAATTTATTTGTCAGAGAGAGAGTGCAAGCTGAGGAAGAAGCAGGCTCCCCGCTGAGCAGGGAGCCTGATGCAGGACTCGATCCCAGGACCCTGGGATCCTGACCTGAGCCGAAGGCAGACGCTTAACCAACTGAGCAACCCAGGCATCCCTAAATTGTATTTAATTTTAATTTAAGTAGCCACAAATGGCCAGTAGTTACTATACTAGAACAGTGATTCTGAATCACCTGGGGAGCTTTTATTATGTTTTTTTAAAATATTTTATTTATTTATTTGAGAGAGAGTGAGAGAGCACAAGCTTGGGGGCGAGGCAGAGGGAGAGGGAGAAACAGACTTCCCACTGAGCAGGGAGGCCAACGTGGGACCTGATCCCAGTACTCTGGGATCATGACCTGAGCAGAAGGCAGACACCCAACCGACTAAGCCATCCAGGCGTCTCACTTGGGGAGCTTTTAAAAACCCTAGCTTGGGGATGCCTGAGTGGCTCAGTCGGTTGGGTGTCTACCTTTGGCTTGGGTCATGATTGGGCTCCTTGCTCGGCGGGGAGTCTGCTTCTCCCTCTGCCTGCCTCTCTCCCTGCTTGTGCTCTCTCTCTCTGACAAATAAATAAAATCTTAAAAAATAAAATAAAAATAAAAACCCTAGCATGGAGGCTACATCTCAGACCAAGTAAATCAGACTGCTTGAGGGTACCACCTAAGCATCGATATCCCACCTGTGACAACCAAAACCACCTCCTCATACGACCCAATGTCCCCCTGGGGGCACAAGGGCCCAGGATGAGGAGCCCAGCTCCAGAGTAAGAGAAAAGGAGCCCAGGAACGGACCCCGCAAGGTGCATGCATCTACAACATCCAGACTTGAGCGTGCCTTAACGTCACTGGATCCTCAGAACATCTATAATGATTCAGGAGATGCTTATATTACAAGATGATCATCAAGATTAAATCACAACAATTAAATTCTCTTAGGGAACTTATGGGACCTCAGTTTGAGAAACTGGCATATAATATGCTGGTAGTAGGTGTTTGCCAATTCCTTTTTTTTTTTTTTTTTAAGTTTTCTTCTTTTGGTTATAATTTAACATTGGCTCTTTTCAGGTTGCCTGAACCCTTTGTACTTGTCTTGGGCTGTCATGAGTAACAGTCTAATGCTGTGCGTATTTCCCTCCCCACCCCCAGGATGGCAAACTGTTGTGAGTCGTGGCAGGGGGAAGTCTGCCAGCATTTTAGATTGTTTTTTGACTTTAAAAACAGAAGTTCCTATCATGACTGAGGAGCAAAAACAGGACTTAAATCCCCTGACCATAAAGATCAAGTGTGTTTCCTGCCTTCCATCACAACCTGTTCCCCTCCATGAACTAGAGGTAAGAATGAGCCAGAAAAACTGATTGGAGAGCTCTTTTTCCCATCTGGTTGCCCATTACTTGTCATCTCTAATTCCCCCCAGTGGCCTTCTGTGAGACGGATCATCATCCCCATTTCACCATTTAGGATCTCACAGCAAGACATGAGAGATTAGGTTCCTGGGTTTAGGAGCTACCAACTCTTGATGTCTCCCCACTACACCAAAGGTGTCCTTCAGGTGCAGGTAGTGATCCTCCCTTCAGAAGGAGCCTCCAGGCCTCATGGATACAGCAGCAGTGCTCACATAGATGCCACTCATTTTGAACCAACTAGGTTTAGTACTGATGTTTATCCTGGGAGTTCCCTTTTTCCTATTGTAGGATCCTTGTTTCCTGGATTCTGTCTTCCTCTTGCTTTGTTTGCTCTCTGATTTTGCTGGAACACATCTTCCTGTAGCTTCTTGAGAAAAGGTTAATGAGAGATACTTGTTTTGAGGTCTCATGTGTCTGAAAATATCTTTATTCTACCCTTACACTTGAGTGATATTTTAGCTGGTATAGAATTCTCATTTTCCTTCAGTTTTGAAGGCATTGTTCTGTGCTCTTTTATGTTCCATGTTGAACCTTTGTATTTGCTTTTTTTCTTCTCTCAAAGCTGTAGGATCTTCTTTTTGTTTTCTGAAACTGCTTGATTATGTGTCTTGGTGTGGGCATACCATATATTATACTTCCATTTTGAAATAAAAATTCAGAGGAAGTTGCAAAGGTAGAGAGATCCTATGTACACTTTGCACAGTTTTTTTCAGTGGTTATGTCTTATATACCAATAGTATAATATCAAAATCAGGATATTGATAAATGTGTGTGTAGTTCTCTGCCATTTTATCACATGCATGGATTTATGTAACTGTCACTGCACTTAAGATACAGAACTATTCCACCACCACAAAGTTCTCTCATGCTACCCTTTTATAGTCACAACCACTACCTAACCTTGCACCATCCCTAACCACTAACATGTTTTCCATTTATATAATTTTGTCAGTTTGAGAATGTTATTGTTGTGGGTTGAATTGTGTTCCCTCAAAAAGGTATGTTGAACACTTAACTGCCAGCAACTCAGAATGTGACTTTATTTAGAAATTGGGTCTTTACAGAGTTAATCAAGTTAAAATGAGGTCATCAAGATAGGCCCTAATCCAATATCACTGATGTCCTTATGAAAAAGGGAAATTTGGATGTAGAGACCAACATAGACAGAAGACAAAGAATACATGAAGAGATGTAGGGAGAATGCCATGTAGTGAGTAGTTATGTTGTCACAAGCCAGGAAATGTCTGGGGCTACCAGAAGCTGGAAGAGGCAAGGAAGGATGCTCCCTTAGCAACTTCAGAGGGAGCATGGCCTTGCTGACACCATGATTTTGCACTTTTAGCCTCCAGAACTGTGAGACAATGAAATTCTGTTGTACTAAGTCACCCAGTTTGTGGTAATTTATTATGGCAGTCCTAGGAAATGAACAGTTATATAAATGGAAACATCCAGTATGTGACCTTTTGAGATTGGCTCCCCCGCCCCATTCAGCATAATGCCCTTGCATTTAGCTGAGTCATTTTTTTAAATTTACTTTTAATTGTTTTTAAGACCATTTACATTTAGTGTAATTATTGATATTTTAGAGCTTAAGTCTGCCATTTTAATATTTTCTGTTTTCTCTGTTTTTTGTTTGTTTTCTTTTTCCTGCCTTCCTGTGGGTTTTTTGGAATTTAATTTTGATTTATATTATTTTTATTTTTGAATGTATAGGTTTTTAGTGGTTACTCCAGAAATTACATTATGCATACATAACTTATCACAGTCTACTGGCGTCAACATCTTTCCAGTTTGAGTGAAGTATAGAAACCTTACCTTCCTTCAAATCTGTTTACCCTATCTCATTTATAATTGTCTTAAATATTTCCTCTATATAGACTGAGAACCACATCAGACGATGTTATACTTTTTGCTTCAACTGTTAAGTGTAATTTAGAAAACTCAAGAGGAGAAGGAAAGTGTATTGTATTTACCTATAGATTTGCTCTTTCTAATGTTCATTTTTCCTTTCTGATGTTCCAAGATTTCTTTTTCTTTTTAAATTACTTCTGTTTCAGGAACTTCCTTTAGTCATTCTTTTAGGGTAGATGTGCTGACAACAAATTCTCTTAGTTTTTCTTTGTCTGAGGATGTCTTTATTTCTCCTCTATTCCTGAAGGCTAGCTTCATTTGATTTAGAATTTGGGGTTGACATTTCTTTTTATTCAGGATTTGAAAAAAGTTATGCCACTTCCTTTTGACCTCTATGGTTTTTTGATGAGAAATCAACTGTCATTTGAGTTGTTCTTTCCCAATACGCTGGGTGGCACTTATCTTTTGCAGCTTTCAAGTTTTTTTTCTCTTTGTCTCTGGTTTTCAGAAGTTTGACTGTGATGTCTCAGTGTAGACTTTTTGGGGGTTTATCCTGTTGGGTTCACTCAGTTTTCTGAGACTTAGGCTTATGTCTTTTGCCATAAAATCACAAATTTGGGAAATTTCAGCCATTCTTTTTAAAAAATATTTATTTTGAAGGAGGGGGGGCAGAGGAAGAGAAAGAGGGAGGGAAGCTGACTCCTCGCTGAGCATGGAGCCTGATGTGGGGCTTGATCACAGGACCCCAAGATCATGATCTGAGCCATATACTCATATAAGTATATGAGAGTCATATACTTAACTGACTGAGCCACCCAGGCATCCCAGCCATTATTTCTTTAAATACCTTTTAGCACTACCCTTTTTCTGTTCTCCTTCTGGGAATCCAGTGTCATTACTATTAGTTCATTTATTACAGTCTCACAGGTCCCTGAAGTTTTGTTTGTTTGTTTTTAGTCTGTTTTCCTCTATGTTCTTCAGATTGGATAGTTTATATTGTTTTATCTTCAAGTTCATCAAGTCTTTTCTCTGTCCCTTCCATTCTGTTATTGAGCCCATCCACTGGTTTTTAAATTTTTAGTTATTGTATTTTTCAATCCTAAAATTTCCATTTGGTTCTTTATATCTTCTATTTCTTTGATAGGACTTTTAATTTTTTTCATTTGATTCAATCATGTTCACACTTGCTTTAAAATTCCTGTCAGATAATTCCAAGATGTATCATTTTGGTGTTAGCATCTGTTGATTGTCATTTCTTGTTTAAGATGGGATTTCCCTGGTTCTTGGTATGATAAATGATTTTTAAATTATATCTTCGACATATTAAATATTAAGTTATGAGACTCTGGATCCTATTTAAATCTTCTGTTTTAAATGTTCTGCCAGTGGAAGAAGGGGAATGCTGTCTTATTTCTGTCAGGTGGAGGTGGCAGTCCAGGTTTCCCACTCAGCAACCATGTCCTAGGGGCAGGGATGCCTTGCTACTACATGCTTCCCACATGATCCTCGCTAACCACCACAGTGGTGGGGAGGCCACATTACTGCTGGATGGTGGGGAAAGATTTTGGCTTCCACTCTGCCTCCCTCGATGCCTTGTTACTGCTGGGCAGGGGTGAAAACCTTGACTCCCAACTTGATCTTTTCTCATGGCACCCAAGTCAGGGGAATTGTTACAGTCGGACAAGGGTGGAAATCTGGGTTTCCCATTTGACTTTTGCTTATGGAAGTGGGGTGCGCCTGGTTTTCTTCATGGTGCTTGCCTGGGGTAGGGCAGTTACTAGCCTAAAAGTTTTCTGGCTCACTAAGCTGCCCCATTCTTGTTTCTTTGGCTGGAGAGAGAAGACTTTGGGATTTTTCCTACCTATTCCCATTAGCATTTCAGAGTTTCTGTCTTCTCCAGCACCTAGTCTAGAATATGTGAGACAAGTAGAAACCCCAGAGAACTCATCACTTGTTGTTCCTCAGGTCCCACAGTCCTTAACCTTCTTCTCTCCATCCTTCTGAGTCTTCTTATGTTTGTTTTACATCTAAAGCCCAGAGTTTAAAGAATCCTTACTTAGCAGGAGAAATAGGAAAAAGTGTGTCTATTTCATTGTGGTCCAGAACAGGAAGCCTGTTGGTATAGAGATGTAGATATACATTTAAAAATTTTTTAAATATTTTATTTTTAAGTAATTTCTACACCTAATGTGGAGCTTGAACTTACAACCCCGAGATTAAGAGTTGCATGCTCCACCTGAGCCAGCCAAGTGCCCCTAGAGATAGATATTTTTTGTTTTTATTTTAATCACCTGGTGCTCATCATGTCACGTGCACTCCTTAATTCCCGTTACCTATTTCACCCATCTCCCTCACCTCCCCTTTAGGAACCATCAGTTTGTTCTTGGAAGTTACGGATCTGTTTCTTGTGTTGTCTTTCTTTCTCTTTTTCCCTTTGCTCATTTGTTTTGTTTCTTAAATTCCACATATGAGTGAAATCATATGGTATTTATCTTTCTCTGACTTATTTCACTTAGCATTATACTCTCTAGTTCTATCCATGTTGTTGCAAATGGCAAGATTTCATTTTTTATGGCTGAATAATATTCCATTGTATATATATACCACATCTTCTTTACCCATCCATCAGTGGACACTTGGGCTGCTTCCATAATTTGGCTATTGTAGATAATGCTGCTATAAACATCAGAGTGTATGTATCCCTTTGAATTAGTTTTTGTTTTTTTTTTTTTAATTCTTTGGATAATACCTAGTAGTGCGCTTGGTGGATCATAGGGTAGTTCTATTGTTAACTTTTTGAGGAAACTCTATGCTGTTTTCCAGAATGGCTGCACCAGTTTGCAAATTCTACCCACAGTGCAAGAGGGTTCTTCTTTCTCCACATCTTCACTAACTCCTGTTGTTTCTTATGTTTTTTATTTTAGTCATTCTTTTTTGGGGGGGAGGGGGAGTGTGCGAGCATGGGGGGAAAGGCAGAGGGAGAGGGAGAGAGAATCTTAAGCAGAGTTCATGTTCAAGGTGGAGCCTGACATGGGATTCAATCTCACAACCCTGAGATCATGACCTGAACCGAAATC